GATAAAATTGTGCTATATTTCTATAATGGAATATTACTCAACATCAAAAAGAATGAAATCTTGCCATTTGCAGCGACATGGATGGAACTAGAGGGTATTATGCTAAGCAAAGTAAGTCAGTCAGAGAAAGACAAATACTATATGATTTCACTCATATAAAAAACAAAACAAATGAACATAGGGGAAGAGAAGGATAAATAAAATAAGAGAGGGAGGCAAACCATAAAAGACTCTAAGCATAGGGAACAAACCTAGGGTTGCTATAGGGGAGGTGGATGGGGGGATCGGGTAACTAGGTGATGGGCATTAAGGAGAGCACCTGAAGTAACAAGAACTGGGTGTTATATGCAACTGATGAATCCCTGAATTCTACCCCTGACACTAATAATACCATATATGTCAATTAAATTGAATTTAAATAAAAACTTTAAAAGAAATCTGTGGTAGCCTTATGCAGGTTCCCTTATATGTAACAGGTTGCTTCTTTCTTGTTGTTTTTAAGATTTTCTCCTTGTCTTTACCTTCTGACAAATTTATATTGATATGTCCCAATATAAATCTCCTTGGATTCATTTTATTTGGCACTTTATAGGCTTCCTGGATCTGGATGTCTGTTTCATTCCCTAACCTAGGCAAGTTTTCAGTCATTATTTTTTTGTTCCCTTTTCTCTTCTCCTTTCAGGATCTCTATAATGTGTATATTCTCTGATTTGTCCCATAAGGTGCCCCATAAATCCCTTAAGCTCTCAGAACACTTTTTTTTTATTCTCTTTTTTTTTCTCTTATGATTGGATGAATTCTACTGCCCTGTCTTTGAGTTTGCAGATCTGTTTTTTCCACTTCATCAACTCTACTGTTGAGCCCCTCTATTAGATTTTTAGTTCAACTACTGTATTCTTCAGCCCTATGATTTCTGCTTGGTACTTTTTTATACTTTCTATCTCTTGGTTGAAATTATCATTTTGCATATGCGTTGTGCTCCTGACCTCAGTAAGTATCTCGATGATATTATTTTGAACTCTCTATAAAGCAAAGCACTTATTTACATTTTATTAAGATCTGTTTCTGGAGTTTCTTTTTCTTTTGTTTGGGACAAATTCCTCTGGTTTTTAGTTTGTTTGTTTTTCATTTTCTTTGACTCTCTGTTAACTCCTGCATATTATATACAAAGAGCCATCTCTCCCCATCTTGACAGAATGATCTCATGTAGATGAGCCTTGTTGATCAGCCCAGCCCAGGTTCCTAGTTGTCTCTCAAACTTTTGTGATTGTCTGAGCCATCTTCTTTGTTTTTAGTGGCTCAAAGTAGTTGAGCAAGTGCCAAGAGCTGACACTGTCCCAAAGGAGAGGATCACAATCAGCAACCAGATGCAGACTGATTAGAGCCCGGAAGCTCAGGCACCAGTGAGGAGTATATTGTTAAGCTCCTTCCAGGGAGAAACTGGGAAATGGGCATTTTAGCTTGCTTTCTCTGTGCTGGGCCTAGGTATGTATAGCCAGTTGGGAAGGAGAAGCTTCTGTGCTTGTTAAGGACTCTTTGTTTGCTATGGTACTGTAGTACTCGTGAGTACAGGTGCCATTGACTATTACAACCAGGTGATCCAGCAGCCTCAGGTCTCTGCTGCAAGCTAGGTACCAGATATGTGCACAAGCTCCATCCAGAGAGATCTTGGGACTGGGTTTTATTATTGGAGTGAACTGGAAGAAGGTGTGAAATGTGTCTGCTGGCTCCCCAGGACTGGAGAGATTGTAGTCAGCCTCTAGATGCCTGCTAAATTAGAAGCCTGGCTGGCCCTCAGACAGTAACCTTTAAAGTTTCAGATATACCTCTTTGGGGACAGATTGGGACATAGATGATTTTGCCTTTCCCTCTGTGCTGAGGGGGCGGGGGAACAGTCATGATTAGTGCTCATGTGGCCATTACAATTGCTTCCTTTTTTATATAGAGTCTTATGGGTCTCATGGGCACAGCTTTCAGAGCTAGGTGTTTGGAAGCCCATATCTCCAGTGGGAGTCTTAAAAGTTGGGACACTAGATGTGGGGTCCGAATCTTCCACTCCTCAGGGAGAAGCTAGGGGCTGAGGATTCCCTCTCAATTGTGACACTATATCAGGGGATGAGGTTTATGGTAAGAACATGTCTCAGCCTTTCCCACCTATTTTGGTGTGAATATTTTTTCATTCTCACAATATGTAAAGTCACTCAGCTAGTTTCTATACCTAATTCAGAGGGAACTGCTTGTGGGTGGCTGTATATTTGGGGTATGTGTGGGAGGAAGGGAGCTCAGGAGTCTACTGTCACCATCTTGGTCAACTTCAAACTGAACTCCCAGTACCTTTCATTTATTTTTAGAGAAATCCTAAATTACATTTCCTGGAAGCATTCCATTTTGTTAAAATATCTCCTAAAACAAAATGGCCTGAACAAAAACACAAAAACAAATTCTTCAATTGTGCTCCAACCAGTATGAAGAAATATGGTAATGTCACTCATAGTAATAAAACCCAAGTTTTCAAAACTTGGTAGTAGATGTCACAGATTTGGTTTAAGTGAAAGCTGCCATCAGATAGCACTCTAAATCTCTTTCATATAAACTGCCAGCAGAATGGATCTCTTCCTTTCTGCATTTTGGTATTTCAGCTCTGTTGCTGCTGTTTTGTTGTTAATTTTAATGCAGGGACTTTATAATGATCTGTGTTGATTTCAGCCTACTCTAATACAGCAGATCCTATCATTTGGTGGATGAGCACTCATTTCCAGCACTGTCTCATCTAGACCTTTGACAAGCACAGCTTCTGTATCTTCCCTCAGAAGAGGATCAGTCAGAACAGAACCAACAACAGAGCCCCCATACTCACTGAACAATCCTGGAAATAGCCTCCACAAGGACAAAGAAGATATCTTTTTCATCACCAGTATATATCCAGAGCCTAGCACAGGATCTGGCACAAGGTACCCACTCAAAATAATGTGCTCATTCTGATCTAAGTTTGAAACATCTAACTTCTCATCCACTTCAAGCTTTAGCTCCCCCTTAACTATGTATGTTCTACCTTATCCAGTCTGGAGAGAAATCTCTTTGATAGAGAATACAAAAACAAAATAGGGGTTCAAAAGCTCTGCTTTCTCCCCATATTTAGTTACATCTGTCCTAAGAATTGTGTTTCTTTCATGTTCAATTTCTCACATAAGAAATGCATTAGAAACAAATTATAATGAACTTTCTAAAGCTATGGGTACTTATTTTTGTTATTTAATTCCTGTGATTGCTCCTATATTGTATCAAATAATTTTCTCACCACAGAAGAAGTTTAAACAGTTAATGATATAAGAAAGTGAGAAGAGCATGGGATTTGGGAACAGAAGGTTTAAATTGAAGCCTGGGTTATTCAATTACATGGTCTGATTATCAACCTGTGATCTCAAATCAGTAATTTAACCTAAGTCATGGTTTCCTCATCTGCAAAATGAGAGTATGATTAATAGCTTTTAACATGGTAATACAGGAAATAAACATGAAAAAAAAATGGGAAGATTACATAAAGTAAAAACTGTGTATATAAACATTATCACAAGTTTTTCTAGCTTTTGTTACTACCTCATATTCTGTATTTGCCTTTGTTTATTGTCTGCCTCTTACCACTAAAATATAAGCTCCAAAAGTTCCGCTTTTATAGATTTCATTCACTGCTTTATACACGGTGCCTTGAAAAGTACCTAACTGGTACATAGTAGATGCTAAAAACATTTGCTGACTTACTCAATAAATAAACAAATTACCTCATTTTCAGAATTTTGCTAATTATAGACACCATATCATTTTTAACTTTGGATTCCACTGGACTTATTGCCACCCCCCATTCTTCCTCCATTATCATAATGTTAGCATCTATCTGAGTGCTTACTTTGTCGTGGGAATTATAGCACCTCTTCATATTCCCTTGGAATGCACTGACCCTAATCCCTGCACATCTCTGAGCTTCCTATACCACTTCCTGATGTTGGCCTAGTCGTTACAAAGCTGGACATCTCCCTTTGTATCTCTTCTCTAAATCTTAGTGCTGTCTCAGACCATAGGGGAGAAGAATCAGGGATTTAACAGTTTTTAGAGTTCCAGACATTGTTTTATATTGATGGTAATTAACATATTCTTCTTTTGCTCCTAATACCACATATCTCAGTCCTGTGCAAAATGAAACACATAACCATGGATCTCAGCTGGTGGTAGGAATCTCTACCACCCTCTGATCTCTGGTTACCCATTAATAGTTTTACTGCAATTAGCACTTCCTATCTTGTGTTTATTTACATTCCTTGTCTCTCTCACTGGGTCATAAGTACTTACAGGTGAATGGGGCCATGAGTAAGGGGTTAACAAAAACCTCTCTCTTTGCCCATGCAAACTAACTTTAGGTCTACCTGAAAACCAGATAAAGCCGAATGTTATGCATGTTATCAGGTAGGTTGCTATGATTAAAATGACCTCTGATTAGCAAATTGTATCTGGATTGGAGAACTATGAATGATATATACAAGTTCCTAGTGTAGACCTAGATGCCTGCATGCAGTGTATCTTGAAACCAAGAGTTCCCTTTAGCAGACTTGGAATCTATACCTATAGAGCTGTGAAAAATGATACTGGTTGGTTCCTCCACTGAGACTGAGGCTTCTCTGCAAGGATGGTTCCCATTCCCTAAAACCTGAATTGTCACTGGGGGTAGGGACTGCCCCTGGACTGCTGTGAGGATTACTACTGATGCTGCTTTGCTAGTATGCTATGTTTCTCATTCCGTATTCTTCTAAAGGGCTATGGCCCAGAATCCGTAAGCATTTGAACTTGATTTAGTTATACCCCAAACCACCTACAGCAGGCATTTCAAGGGCATAACACATCCAGGTTTTAACTGAACTAATCACTGCTGAGAATTTCCCCACCAAATGAAAAAGAGGTCCTAGTGTGAGCCAGAATCAAAACATCTCCCATCTCTGAAAAGTCCTTACCTGAATTGATAAGAGTGTATCATAAGTTTCTTTCTTTATATTTTTCATGTGGACAGTGGAAAGTACTGTGGAGGAAAAGGAGACACTGTATGAGGTCCTCCTACAAGCACTGTTGAGCAGAGAGAGACTATACTCCCAGACAGAGGATGAAGATGTGGGCCTCCACAACTTCTGCACATACACCTCAGAGGGAGTTCTCATTAACACTTTATTGATTGTGGTTAATAATAAAGATATATTCCTGCATGTGGGCCCATACCTGCTCCATACAAAGTGTTTTCACGTACATCCCTTCATTTAGCTTTACGATGAATGACCCAGACAACAAGACTGGTTAAAATAAATTACATTATGCTGTTGAATAAACGAAAGTCAAATGAAAAAACTCAGCCCAGAGAGATGAATAGCCTAAGACCTAAAACTTGACTATAGATCTCCTGACTTCTAATTCAGAATGCTCTCCTGCCTATTCTACAAGATGAAGGATGCCAAAAGATGGGAGAAAGGCCAACAGAAGAAGACATGCCTGACTGGCTGTTTGTGTGAAAGAACTGCAGATAGCGGTGTTCTCTGGTTCAATCTGTCTGCACATCGTCTTTTTCCATTTTCTTAAGTGTCAATCCATATTCCCTCCTTATAATTCTATTCCATGTTTCCCTAATACGTTTATTCCCCAAACTTATTCATCCCCCGAGCTTGGGGTCTTGGTCCATGACAGTACTATTTCTCTGACACTGCCTCCACTTCCTGTTGTTCAGTCATAGACATTTGGCAATGACAAAGATAGCCTTGACTCGGGTCCCAGCCAGGCCCCACTCTGGCCACTAAGGACTGAAAAGGATCGAGCAAGGGTTCTGCATTGTTGGTTCTGTAAGTAACGGCTGGTGGGGTAGTAGGGTAAGAACTTGTTCCTTAACTCACCCCACCACTTTCTCCTAAAAACTATGGGGCCTTGGGCTTAGTTGGTTAAGCATCTGACTTCAGCCAGTTGTGATCTCAGGGTCCCAGGGATCAGGCCCCATAGTCAGGCTCCATCCTCAGTGGGGAATCTGCTTCTCCTTCCCCCTTTTCTTTTGCCCTTCCCCCAACTTGTGGGCTTGCATGTTCTCATGCTCGCTTTCTCTCTCTCAAATAAATAAAATCTTTAAAAAGAAAACTATGGGGAGAAATAAAGTATCCATGGGAAATGGGAGAAATAAAGCATCAGAAGGACTGCTGTTCTGTTTCAGACTTCACTAGTACAGGAAAAAAATTAAAGAGAAATTGTACCCTGTTTTAAGTGGCCTCTTGTCAGTTCATCTCCATTATCAGCGGTCATAAGCAGCACCTTGATTCCTCTTGTGATCAGAGCCTGTGGAGAAATTTAGTAAGGTAAATGAACTGTCCCTTATCCCATGGAATGGCTTCTCTCTAGAAAAAACTGATGGTGATAAAAGTACTGGAATGAAGCTGAGGAATGGAGAACAAGCCTAATTCCTTCATCCAACTTCTTGTAAGTTAGTAAATTAGAACCAAAAAAACATCATCCCTGCCTCAGCCACACTCAGAAAGGCCAAACTGACAATTAAAATATCGGACCTAAAGTAAGAGGCAGTGAGACTATTTTCTTTTTTTTTTTTCCTCATTAAACTTTTTTTCCTCATTAAACTTTTGTTTTAATGGGTCTTAAAGTTCTGTGACAGATTTTTGGTCAAATTGTTTCCATTAAAAAGTACTGATTTTAAAAACTAATAACTTAAAACTGCCACACACACACAAAAGAACAAATGGTCCACAAAACATTCTCCTTTCCTTCTGAAGGTTTTACGATGCATTGTGATCATTAACCAGTCTTTTACTATTAAACTTAAATGGCCAATTGACACAAACAGTTCTGAGACCGTTCTTCCACCACTGATTAAGACTGGGGTGGCAGGTGTTGGGGATAATATTCATTTAGGCTTCTGAGCTTTCTGGGCAGACTTGGTGACCTTGCCAGCTCCAGCTGCCTTCTTGTCCACTGCTTTGATGACACCCACAGCAACCGTCTGTCTCATGTCACGAACAGCAAAACGGCCCAGAGGAGGATAGTCAGAGAAGCTCTCAACACACATAGGCTTGCCAGGAACCATATCAAAAATGGCAGCGTCACCAGATTTCAAGAACTTGGGACCATCTTCCAGCTTTTTTCCAGAACGACGATCTATCTTCTCCTTCAGCTCAGCAAACTTGCAAGCAATGTGAGCTGTGTGACAATCCAGCACAGGTGCATATCCAGCACTAATTTGGCCTGGATGGTTCAGGATAATCACCTGAGCTGTGAAGCCAGCTGCTTCCATTGGTGGGTCATTTTTGCTGTCACCAGCCACATTGCCACGACGAACATCTTTGACAGATACGTTCTTGACATTGAAGCCCACATTGTCCCCAGGAAGAGCCTCACTCAAAGCTTCATGGTGCATTTCAACAGACCTGACTTCAGTGTAATATTGAATGGAGCAAAGGTGACCACCAGTCTCCACTCGGCCCACAGGGACAGTACCAATACCACCAATTTTGTAGACGTCCTGGAGAGGCAGATGTAAGGGCTTGTCAGTTGGACGAGTTGGTGGCAGAATGCAATCCAGAGCCTCAAGCAGTGTGGTTCCACTGGCATTCCCATCTTTACGGGTGACTTTCCATCCCTTGAACCAAGGCATGTTAACACTTGGCTCCAGCATGTTGTCACCATTCCAACCAGGAATGGGCACAAATGCTACTGTGTCTGGGTTGTAGCCAATTTTCTTAATGTAGTTGCTGACTTCCTTAATGACTTCCTCGTATCTCTTCTGGCTGTAGGGTGGCTCAGTGGAATCCATTTTGTTAACACCAACAATTAGTTGTTTTACAATCAGTGTGTAAGCCAGAAGGGCATGCTCACGGGTCTGCCCATTCTTGGAGATACCGGCTTCAAATTCACCAACACCAGCAGCAACAATCAGGACAGCACAGTCAGCCTGAGATGTGCCTGTAATCATGTTTTTGATAAAGTCTCTGTGTCCTGGAGCATCAATGATGGTCACATAATACTTGCTGGTCTCAAATTTCCACAGGGAGGTATCAATGGCGATACCACGTTCACGTTCAGCTTTCAGTTTATCCAAGACCCAGGCATACTTGAAGGAGCCTTTTCCCATCTCAGCAGCCTCCTTCTCGAATTTTTCGATAGTTCTTTTGTTGATCCCACCACATTTGTAGATCAGATGACCAGTAGTGGTAGACTTGCCCGAATCTACGTGTCCGATGACAACAATGTTGATATGAGTCTTTTCCTTCCCCATTCTGGTTTAGGTTGAGCGGTGGTTTTCACGACACCTGTGTTCTGGCGGCAAACCCGTTGCAATAAAGCCAGTGAGACTATTTTCATTCACCTTAATACAGCGCTTTCCCCTAAGGACTTGAATCCCAGATTTTGTCTAGTGCATCAGAGAGCTTAAGACAAACTTCTTCTCCATACTCCTATGCAAATTAGCTACATGCCCGGGACCCAGCTCACAGAGTGGATTAGGAAACACACACACAACTGCTGGTTTTCCTTTGGTCAATGGCATGCACAGGTAAATTTTTGTTTAGTCAATCTATGGTTGCACTTGTCACTGCCTGAGACTTTAATGTCTCTACTTCAACTAGAAATAAATCCAAGAGAGTCTAAATCAAAGAGAAAGAGAAGAGGCTAAGAAATTTATCTATTTGAAAAATCAAATACTGAGACTATGGCCATGAATACTGAGAAAAGCCAAAGGTATGTCTTCCTGGGCCTGTAGATCACAATATTCTGAAGGTGACACTATTCCTGCAATTATCCTTGTTGGGAATGAGAAGGTGGTTTGCTTCTCCTGAACTCTTCTGAAAAACAGGGAAGGCTGAGAGGTGAACAGAATGAGTGAGAGGAGATAGCATGTCATATATTAATAACAGCCAAACTTCTACTACCATAGGTCCTTTAGATGCAATGTTTCCCACTTTTAGGCCCAGCAAGCAATATGGCAAATTGGTAGAGGACCATATAACTTTTTATCTAAACTAGAACACTTAGTAAAGAAAAGGGTGCTAACTGGGATTCATGGACCACTACTCACAGGGATAGCAATAGGTTCCACTTCTAGACACAGTGGGCTATTTTGTTCCAGACTAACCATCCTGCTAATAACAACTAGATGAGCTGGACAAAAAATTTTTTAATTTATTTGAAAATACTAGACATATGCCAAGGAAGGACTTGAGGAATCAAGTTTTCAGAGAGGCAGACAGCCAAGAGAGGTGAAACTAGCATGTTTTAAACTTTTTCCTTCAGACATTGATTCCCCAAGCATCAGTTGAGAGGCTAAAAAGCTGATTAGATTCCCCAGCATTTTATGGGACGTTGGGAAAGAAATTGCAGTTTATAGACTTCCAAAATAGAAGAGGGGCCATAACAATTCTAGGCTTTTAGCTGGGACGCAAAGGGTTGTCTATCCCCTAGGAGAGAAGGTGAACAGGAATTAGACCTACTCTCAGAAGAATTAAAGCCCAGTTCCAAATCATTTGCTACCTTCTAGAAGCAAAAACAAATCCATCTGAAGAGCTTCAAATGATCTTAGTCATGTTTTCATAAATAAATTGGATTGAAAAATTATTAGGCATACCAAAAGATATTATTTACTGAAAACATGAGAAAAACAGACAATGGAACAGATACATAGGCAATTAGACATTAGGTTTCTTAAACACAGCTTTGAAATAATTATAATTAATATGTTCAAGGAATCTTTTAAAAATGGAAAATTTTGGCCAAAAAAAGGAAACTACAGAAAAGAATCAAATGAAAATCTAGAACTAAAAATCACTATATGTGAAATTAAGAACTAGGTTTAACATCAATTTAGACAAAGCTGCAGAGAAAATTCATAAATTACAAGATATCTTAGAAAAAAGTAATCCAGAAAAGAGCAAAACAAATATGATGAAAATATCTAGTTTTGTATAACAGAAGTCCTAGAGGAAAGGAGAGAAAAAAATTAAGCTGACAGTTGGTGGAGATTTTCCAAAACCAATTAAAGACTTCAAGCCACATAATGAAGGGTGCAAACAAATGTAAGCAGAATAAAAAAAAAATCACACCTAGCAAAATCTTAGTAAAGTTGAGGAAAACCAAAAAATAAATCTTAAAAGAAGCCAGAAGAAAAATACATTTTACCTTCAATGGAACCATAATTTTATCAATACCTAACTTCTTAATAAAAAAATTATACGCCAGAGAATCATCAAAGAAAATAATTGTCAATCTAGAATTCTACATACAGTACAAATATCCTTCAAAATGGATGATGAGCTAGGCACATTTTCAGGCAAACAAAAGGTGAGAGAATTTGTTAATAGCATACCTGCAACAAAGAAAATACAAATAGGTATTCTTTAGGCAGAGGAAATGATAAGAGAGATAAAGCTCAGAGATGCAGAGAGGAGATAAGAGCAACAAAAAAGTAAATTAGGCACATAAATCTAAATTATTCCATGTAATAATAAAAATAATATCTTGTGGACATAAATATATTTAGCATTAAAAGAAATAACAATAGTACCGAGGAAAGAAAGGAGGAAAATGCAATTAAACTTAATTTGTCTAGGAACAAGCAAACACACTAATTTATATTAGACATTAATATTTCTAGGATAAATAGTAGTCTCTATGGCCAATACTAAAAGAAAAGTGAAAAGTGTTTAACAAGCTAATACAGGAAAAAATGGAACAAAAAAAAATAGTCAATCCAAAAGGAGAAAAAAAAAAAAAAAGAAGAGAAAAGACCATAGGATAGGTAGGGCAAATAGAAAGAAAGTTAACAGGATGGTAGATTTAAATGCAACTGTCAGTGGGGCGCCTGGGTGGCTCAGTGGGCTAAAGCCTCTGCCTTTGGCTCAGGTCATGATCCTGGGGTCCTGGGATTGAGCCCTGCATCCAGCTCTCTGCTCAGCAGGGAGCCTGCTTCCTCCTCCCTGCCTCTCTGCCTATGTGTGGTCTCTGTCTGTCAAATAAATAAATAAAATCTTTAAAATAAATAAATAACTGCAACTGTCAGTAATTATATTAAATTTAAATTAGCCAAATAACTCATTTAAAAGATAAGAATTTTCATAATGAAGTAACAAAAACAAATTCTAATCATATACTGCTTATAAGGTATGTTCCTTAAGCATATGAATCCAGAATAATTGAAAGTAAGAGGATAGAAAAGTATGTATTATACAAAGACCAACCAAAAGAGAGCTATGATGTTCACAGAAAAGAAAAATATTTTAACATCAGTCTGCCTTACTTGAGAGTTATATAGGTAGTTTCTTTTCTCCTCTTAGGACGTAAATGTATGAAAAAATTAAATTGGACCTTATTCATCTTTATGTTCCATGGTATCATGCAAGCTATAGCTACTCAGGATATGTTTGCTCCACAAACTAACAAAATGAGGAAAGAAATATGTAAACATGGAGGAAATTGAAAGGAGCACTTACCTTTTTAATATACGACATGTAACGATTATCCCGATGATATGAACCATATTCATTCTCAACCTGCACAGCAATGATGGGGCCTCCCTTTCCATACTGAGGGTCAAGGAGATGGGAGTTTGAGAGTAAAGTTACTGTGGGAAAGGCTAGATTTTCTCAATTTTGCTGTTGCACACACATACTTAGAGTGCCATAAAAATAACACATTCCTAAACTAAACTCCAAGTTACACTATAGTTCAGGCAATTTCTCTCACTCCACAGTCAGCAGTCAACTGCTCCTAGAATCCTACCTTTTCTAGTACTTCCTATTAATGGACTCCCACCCTTTTCCCTCTTAATTCAATGCATTAAGCATGATGCTTCACACCTCCACTTCCATCCTGTCTATCTTAGCACCAGTTAAATGAGTCAAATGATTCTCATCCTCCTTACTTCTCAAGAACTTCACTCTTTTTGGACTACCGTTCTGTCTTCTATATCATCATCTCCCTTTTTACTAAACCTTCCCCCTTATCATTTAAATTGACTCAAAGTCCTCTGTTAAAAATAACTTGCCTGGACCACTTCCCCCTCCAGTGCCCACTATCTTGCCCTCTTCATCTTCATGGACAAACTCTGAAATATTCCTGAACTAACACTTGACTTCTTATTCTCTCATTTACTCATTACTCTTTTACTCATTCCCATTCTTTCCATTCCACCTACGTTATTAACATTACCTTCTCTTTGCTAAGTTCAAACAATAAATTTTAATTCAAATTTACTATCTCTCTGAGCAACATTTGGCATCCTTGGCTACCTTCTCCTTCTTGAAACCTCTATCTGTGGTCTCCTATTGCTCTCTCCTAGTTTCTGGCCTGCCTCTGGCCTGATCACCACACTTCAGTTTCTTCTGTGAGCTCCTCTTGCCCTACTCACCTCTTAAGGAATGTTGATGTTTCTCATGGTTCTTTATTAATCCCAACTTTGTGCTGGGTCACATCCCTTCTGTTCTCGTAATTATGCCCTCTTGCAAATATCTTCACATTTCCCATCCCTACTCACTCCTGTCTGTTGATGGTAACATATTCAGTCATCCTCTATCTTTATAGTTCTCACCAGTCTAGCCAATATATTTCCTCTTCATATCTTGCACCTGTCACACCTTAGTTGAGGTTTATCATGCCCACCTCAGCATCTCCTCAGCCTACTCTCAGAGATACATGGGGAAGCATGAGATACTCCTCCCAGCATACAAAAATAGAAATAGTGTTGATTTCTAAGGATTAAACTCCACACCAACCACACAAGTAAGAGTCCGGACAACACCCAGCACCATGTATAAGTGTCATGGAAGTGTTTGCACATCAAAACCTGTGTTCGTCATTGTTCAGGAGCAGCTGGGTGGAAAGAGTTGAAATGGAAGAATCTTTAGCAAGCAAGGAATGACTGCATTATATCCTGATAGGGAAAAAAGAGGACAAAAGGCCCACAAGAGTGTTTCTCAAACCTTTAAATGTCATCCTCTGCTGACAAACACTGAAAAACTTTTTCAAAACCTGCTTCTCTCTTCCCCTTTCCCATCTATCCAATTACGAATCTAGCAGGTTAGAGAATAGATAAAGAAAGAGGGAAGATCCAGAAATTGACAGTACCTGTATTAGCAAGAGATCCAGAACCAGATCAATACAACTGGAAGTTCTGAAAGGCAGCTATTCATTGCAAGTGTTGACTTATAACACCATAGTAAAATGCTTTTGAGACCTCCAAACTGCCTCAGACCCTGATTTTGTGTTAACTAAGCAAGGTTCTGATTATTAGTTTTCCAGGAGTTGCAAGACTGAGAAGTCTGATTTGGGGTGGGCTAGTACAATGCTGTCCTGCAGAACTTTCTGATAATGAATATATTCTGTGTCTGCATTGCCCAATATGGTAGGTATCCACACATGCCTACTGAGCACTAAAAATGTGTCTAGCGTAAAGGAAGAAATTATTTTTAAATTTTATTTGATTTTAACTAAATCAAATTAAAGCATATATATAGCTCCTATACTGGATAGCATAACTCTAATCTTTTTGAAGGATTATCTCCACATTCCCCAAATGGCACACAGATTCTCTTCAGTCACTTAGTAGTTTTAATAGCTTTCCTGAGTCTGATCAACTGAGATACTCACAGTGTTAAGAACCAACTCTCCATAGTAAATTCAGATTCACATAATGTGAAGCCCTCTCCTACCCACATACAAGTTTGCCATTTCCTCCATTTAATCTATGATAACATCTCCTTCAAATGATTACTGTGGCAGTGAAATATGCTAGGTAATTGTTGATTGCCTCACAGAAATCTTGATGCCTAATAGATGTTAAATTTTTGTTCCCTCCCTTTGTTCATTTTCTATCTGGTTTATAGTCCTTTTTTTTTGTTTTCCAGCCATTTTAGAAATATAGTACCACTAAACAATGATTACATTTGGCATCATGGCTTTATTGTGGTGGAGGGATGTTAAAAAACAAATAAATTTCAACTTTTACAAAATCGCTGACCTAAGGTCACTCATCTAATCTATTATGTGTGAAGCTGTTACCTTTAGAAGCCAAATTTAGACATTTTGAGGACTACCATTAATTTCCCATTTATGGTGACTGAGGGCAAAGATACAATGGAAAAGAGAAAACAAAAATATACAGAGTCCAGTTTCAAGTCCACTGCCAGAGAAAAGGCTTCCAGTTGGCAGCAGATAGGAAACAGGCAGAAAAGCAAGGTAATAAAAACCTGGTATTTCTTAAATAAGGAATTGGAACGAACTGCTATATACACTTCCTGCTTCCGTGTGATAGAAAATAGGCTAACTTTATCCAGGAAATCAGCTGCGGCAATTACTTCCCTTGGTCATAAGAATGGTGAATTTGGATTTACCTGGAGTTGTACTACCATGGGAATTATCTTATCAAAATAGTGATTCACTGCTTTAGTGAAGCCCCTGTAAGTTGTTCGCAGCTTCATTTTTGGATCCCGGAGTAACCAGCTAGGATTGAAAAGGTAAGAATTACTCTTGCGGTGGGAAACAGGAATAAGAAATGCTCAAGCATGAGGCTGGAAAACAAGGACAGCCACACTAGAACAGTATATTGCCAGATCTTAATCCATCTTTTAAAAAGCAATCTGCATTCTAGCTGCAAATAGCTCAGCACCTTAACCACATCAGAGTTGTGTACTGATGAAATGATCCAGAGCCCCGTCATCAAACTGCAGCCCACAGGCCAAATCAGAGTCAATGTCTGTTTCTACAAATAAAGTTTTATTGGAACACAGACAGACCCATTTGTTTACATGTTGTCACAGCTGTGTTCATGCTACAGGAGCAGGATTGAGTAGTCATAACAGACTATGTATGTGGCTCTCAAAACAGAAAGTATTTATTATCTGGCCTTTTACAGAAAAGTTTTACAAACCCCTAATCTGGAGTGAGACTTCTGTAAAGTTGTTTCAAATTTTTTAAAAAATGCTCTTTGATGGAATATTATTTAGCCATAAAAGGGGAATGAAGAACTGTACCTGCTATAACACAGGTGAACCTTGAGAACATTATGCTAAGCAAAGAAGCCAGTTACAAAAGGTCACATATTCTCTAATTCAATTTATATGAAATATACAGAAGAGGCAAACTGACAGGGTCTGAAAGCAAACTGGTGGTTGCCAGGGGCTGGGGGAAGAAATAATGGGAGTTGACTGGACATAGGGCTTCCTTTTCAGGTGACAAAGAAATCTGGCACTAGACAGTGGTGATGGTTGTTCAACATTTTTGATGTAGTTAATTGTCATAAAACTGTACACTTTCAAATGATAAATTTTTATGTTATGTGTATTTTACTACAATAAAAAATGATTGGAAGTTACCAAGAGGGAATACCCCTCTTTAAAAAGAGATAATTGACCCAATTTCTTACTACTTGTACCTCCATCACAAAAACTAGAACTTATAAAGGTATTGCTTACGTGGCAGCCACTAGTTTTTATTAAAATTAAAAAAAAAGTGCTCTATCTTATTTACACTGCAGAATTGTGATGGAAGTTTATATAAAAAAAACACATACTACATAAATCCCAATAAATCGAAGTTCATTTTCTATGTCATTAAATGGGAAAATAGTATAGGTTAAAAATGTACACAGAAAATCAGCAAAACCCTTTGCTCTAACTTCCATTTGTATGTACTAGGGGCCCATATGGAGTCATGGTCAGGGGCCTCAGAGAGCAACTTACCTGGGTAAGCCTCCAAGGTCTAAGTCGCTACCGATATAAGGGCCTGGACATAGAATTACCCACAGCTCCGCCTCCGAAGCCATGGCTATAAAAGTCCTGGGAAGCGAAGCAATAAGGATCACTTATTATTATTCAGGCTGAGACTGGAATCACTGAGTTCTCTTCTGAGGTTAGAATGGGTGGAACTCCCAGCCTGGTCTATAAAAGTCCTTATAGGTGGCATGAACCAGAGAGACATGGAGCCCTACACTCACTAACAAAGGGGCTCATTCATGTTGCTAGAAAACAAGTCCAGAAGCCTACTCCTCCCCATGCATCTGCCCCCACCATGCAAGAAAGCCATACTAAGGCAGATTCTTACAAACCTTGTTCCTCCTTCTTCTATGTCTCCTACTTTCAGTCAGTCACCAAATCATGTTTATTCCTCCTACTTAATGTTTTCAAATATGAAACTCCTCTTAATTTCTAGAACCACCACATTTATTAAAGAACTCATTATTTCACACCTGAGTTATGACAGTGGTTTTCTGACTGCTTTCCTTCCTTCTTCTTACCTTCTTCCAGTGCTTCTCCAGTCCCATCAATAATCATCATTAACAACAAAAATAGGAGTTAATTTTTACCTTGTATCAGCATCTGGCACTACAGCCCTCTTTAAGACTATTATTTTATTTCACAGTTCAGTGAAATAAGTATCAATATCATCTCCATTTTACAATGAAATAAAAAGCTTAAATAAAGCTTGAAATAAAAGCTTAAATAAGTCAAAGCTTCCTAAAGGTCATATTCTCAGTAAATGGAAGAACTAAAATACAATCAGACAGAGAGCTTCCAGAAATGAAATATCAACTACTATATTATTCTGCCTCTTTAAAATACTGCTGGCACAATCTTTCTAAATGTACATACAAACTTTCCAAATTAAAATTCTTCAAATGACTCCCAATGACTTCAGAAAAGATTCCAAATGGTGAAGCATAGTAAATATAAAGGCAAGCTGTGTTCTACTATCTACTACTATCTATTCAGTTTCATTTTTGGCATTCTCTCTAGTTAAACTAATAGGAGAAACAGAAAGCATTATTTGCTGTTCCCAGAAAATAGAATGTATGGCAGAAAGTTAATCGCCAAAGCCATTCCCTTTTCTTCCTGGGCACACAGCTCAACTACATATCCCAGCCTCCCATGCATTGAGGTGGTGTTGCTATGTGACTGACTTCAAGCCAACAGAATGTGAACACAAGCAATGTGTTCTGATTTCCTAAAAAGATTCTCCCTTCTCTCTCTTCCACTGCTGACTTGATGCAGATAAGTGTAGCAGCCTGGAAGCTATATGAAGAAGATGGTGAAGTCACATATAGAAAGATCCTGAATCTTTCAATTATTTCTTGGAAAAGAGACATAACGCTTACCAGGAATACCTATTTTAGATTTTACTTAAATGAAAATAAATCTTTATTGTTAAAGACATTGAAGCTTACTTGTTACAGCAGCTAACATCACCTTAATTAACTTAAAAATGTTCTCTCACATCTCTGACTTTGCTGGACCCTCTTCCTAAAATTCCACTCAGTCCCCTCTAGCAATCTCCTACTCAACATTTTAGTTACTTCAGCTATAACTTCATTGTTACCTTTCATGATCTGTTCCCATAAATTGGGTTGTGTGGTTTTAGTATAATATTTGTCTCCTTCTCTATAGAGAATCCTTAGTCTTGACAGTACAAAGAGTATTATCTGTCTATCCCTGCACCAAAGACAATGTCTAAACTCTAGCAGATAGCTAATACATATTTTTGAATAAACAATTATAGATCTTCCTGAAGATTTGCTATGTGTATTTTACTACTATTGGGTTGCTTCCTACAAACCCATCATTAGTTGAAAATATTGTTAAGTAAAAAAAAATGCATTTAATACACCTAACCTGCTGAATATCATAGCTTAGTTTAACTTACTCTACAATGTGCTCAGAACATTTACATTAGCCTACAGCTAGGCAAAATCATCTAACACAAAGCCTTCTTAAGTGCTGAATATCTCCTGTGATTTATTGACTACTATACTCAAAATGAAAAAACAGAATGGTTGTATAGGTACAGAATGGTTGTAAGTATATCACTGTCTACCCTCATGATTGCAAGGCTGACTGGGAACTATAGTTAGCCGCTGCTGTTCAGTATCATAAAAGTGTATAGTACAACATATTGTTAGCCTGAAAAAAGACCAAACTTCAAAATTTGAAGTACAGTTTCTACTAAATGCATATCACTTTCGTACCATCATAAAGTCAAAACATTGTAAGTCAGTGACCATGTATACTCTGTGTTACACCCTAGAAATCTTGTAAACTATAGTCCAGAAATATCCTCTTATAACTGAGACAGCAGGTTCTTCATAAAAGATTAAAACTGTAGCACTTAAGATGCAGACTTTCTAAACCACACTGTAAATAAAATACACCAAAAACACTAAGCTCTACGCTTTATTGCAAATAACAGATTCACTGCTCAAGAGGGCTTCATACCAGGGAACAGAATTATCAGAGCTTCCTAATGATTTCCCAAACAGAAAGTAAGGTGCCTTTATTCATCTGATCCCAGAGTCTAACCCCTGTCTTCAATCCATAGAAAGAAGCAACCACAGCACTAAGACATACATGAAATCCAGGTTTGCAGTAAGATAAAACCAGCCTTTTCTTGGCTCGTGAAGGTTCCAGGGAATATGCCTGCAGTGGAAAAAAGAGAAATATAAAAATATTTTACCTTAATGGACCTTATTCCATATTGATTCCTCCAGTATTAATATAGCACCTGGGCTATCTCTACTGTGAAGGAAATTGAAGATTTCAATAGCCAAGACTCTGTGCATGAGTGAACTTTATATTAGCTTAAAAATTTACTCCTTCAGGGGATCCTGTGTGGTTCAGTCATTAAACATCTGCCTTCTGCTCAGGTCATGATCCCAGGGTCCTGGGATGAGCCCCACATTGAGCCCTGTATGGAGCCCCCTGCTCGGCAGGAAGCCTGCTTCTCCTCTTCCACTCCCCCTGCTTGTGTTCCCTCTCTCGCCGTGTCTCTCTCTGTCAAATAAATAAACAAAATCTTAAAAAAAATATTTCATCCTTCAAATCCCCAGTGCAGATCCAAGCAGCCAATATTGTTCCTTGATGCTGAACTTCAGGTAGATAAATATATATGTAACACCCTCTGGGGTTGAACCACAAATTTCCTTTTTTTAATACTAATGAAAATTTAAATCCATATCTATAATGGCAAAAAAGAAAAACCACTAACCATAAAACAGAAACCAGCAAGAGCTGAAAAGTTTATAGAACTTTTGAATGAATAAAATGAAATCCAGCAAACAATACAAGATTCACAATACTTGGGATACATTAAGAAAATTACTAGGCATGCAAAATCAGAAAAATCAGACACAAAGCAGAAAAAAAAATCAAGCAATGGAAACAATCCCAGAAAAGACATATAGGATGAAACTAGCAGAAAAATAAAATACTAAAAAGGTATAATAAATATGTACCATATCCTTAATAAGTAATGGAATGCATAACCATGATAAGGAGAAAAATAGAAGATACTAAAAAGACTCACATGGAACTTCTAAATTTTAAAAAATAGCATCTGCAATAAAAAATACTTGATACTATTAATAGCAGAAATTAAAAACATATTGGCTGAGACTAATAACAGAGTACATACAACAGAATAAATGGTCAGAACAAAAGAAACTATCCAAAATGGAAAGCAGAAAAAAGGAAGACTAAAAATACAAATGAAAACAGGATCAGTGATCTATGCTTTCTCACCAAGAAGTCTACCATACATGGAATTGGACTCCGGGGAATAAAAGGGGGAGGCAAAAATAGTAGTTGAAATAGAGCCACAATTTTACCATTTAATGAAATCTATAAACCTACATGATTCAAGAATTTCAGTGAACCACAAGCAGAATTTAGAAAAAAAAAAAAAAAAACCCTACACCCGAGCACATTAGAATCAAATTGTTAAAAACCATGGGGCACCTGGGTGGCTCAGTGGGTTAAAGCCACTGCCTTCAGCTCAGGTCATGATCCCAGGGTCCTGGGATCGAGCCCAGCATCAGGATCTCTGCTCAGTGGGGAGCCTGCCTCCCCTTCTCTCTCTCTCTGTCTGCCTCTCTGCCTACTTGTGATCTCTGTCTGTCGAATAAATAAATAAAATCTTTTTAAAAAATTGTTAAAAACCAAAGAAAGAGAGAAAATCTTAAAAGCAAACAAAGGGGGGGTGTGATAAGAAGTAGATTTGTCATCAGATAATGTGCAGGTCAGGAGAAAATGAAGAAACATTTTAAGATACTGAAATTAAAAAACAAAAACAAAATTAAACCATGTCAACCTAGAATTCTACCTATACTCAGTGAAATTATCCCTCAAAATAGAAGATGAAAAAATCAACTTTCAAAAAAACAAAAGCTAAAAGAATTCATTACTAACAGACTTCCACTACAAGAAATGTCAAAGGAAGTCCTCCCACAGAAGGAAATACCACATGGAAATTATAATCTATACAAAGGACTTGAAGAGCACTAAAAATGGTAAATATGTGGTAAATAAAAAAGATATTTTATCACTTTAAATTCCTTTCAAACATAACTAGATGTTCAAAGCAGAAAAATAATAATGTATCATGAATTCTGTAGCTCATAACAAACAAAGCCTATGACACAATATAGTACAAAGGATAAGAAGAGTAAAATGGAAGTATGAATTTTAAGACTCTATAGTGATAGCTTTATATATTCAAAAAAAAGAGAGCAAATTAGGAATTTAATTTAAGAATTTAGATATAGAACTTTACATAAAAACTTTGGAAATGAATACAGGATCCTTAAAAAATGATTTAATTCAATACCACACTTTCAACAACAGGTAGATCATCCAGACATAAAACCAATAAGGAAACACTGGACTTGAACGACACATTAGACCAGATGAGCCTATTTGACAAATATAGAACACTCTATCCAATAGCAGCAGAGAACACACATTCTTCTCAAGTGCACATGGAACATTCTCTAGGATAGATCACATATTAGGCCATAAAACAAGCCTTAATAAATTCAAGAAGAATGAAATCATACCAAGCATCTTTTCTGCCATAATAGTCTGAAAATAGAAATAAATTTTGAGAAAAAACCTGGAAAATTCACAAATATGTAGAAATTAAACAACATAATTACATGGAAAGATAGGGGCGCCTGGGTGGCTCTGTGGGTTAAGCCGCTGCCTTAGGCTCGGGTCATGATCTCAGGGTCCTGGGATTGAGCCTCTCATTGGGCTTTCTACTCAGCAAGGAGTCTGCTTCCCTATCTCTCTCTCTGCCTGCCTCTCTGCTTACTTGTGATCTCTTTCTTTGTCAAATAAATAAATAAAATCTTCAAAAAAAATAAATGGAAAGATATTCCATACTCTAGGATTGGAAGAATTAATATTGTTAAAATGCCCATACCAACCAAAAGAAACTACAGATTCAGTGCAATCTCTATCAAAGCTACAACAGCTTTTTTTCACAGAAATTAAAAAAAAAAACAAACTAAAATTTGTAGGAAACTACAAAAGACACTGAATAGCCAAAGTAATCTTGAGAAAGAACAAAGCTGGAGGCATCACAATTCCTGATGTCAAATTATATTATAAAGCTGTAGTAATCACAACAGTATAGAATTGGCATAAAAACAGACATATAGGTCAATGGAACAGTATAGAGAGCCCAGAAATAAACCCATGCCCATATAGTCAATTAATTTATGACAAAACAGTCAATAATATACAATGAGGTAAGAAGAGTCTCTGTAACAAATGGTGTTGGGAAAGCTAGACAGCCATATGCAAATGAATGAACTAGCCCTCTATCTCACACCACACAAACACTAACTTAAAATAGATTACAGACCTAAATGTTTAGAAGTGCTGGGAAAAAACAACAGTAAGCTCCTTGACATCAATCTTGGCAATGACTTTTTGAATTTGACTCCAAAAGCCTAGGCAATAAAAACAAAAATAAACAAGACGGACTACTTCAAACTAAAAGGTCTACACAGTTATAGGAACTAGCAACAGGATGAAAAGGCAACCTAAGGAATGGAAGAATATATTTACAAACCTGCAAATCTAATGAAATTTGCAAAAGCTGATTAGAGGTTAACATCCAAAATATACAAGAAACCCACACAACTCAAGAGCAAAAAACAAATAATCCAATTAAAAAATGGGCAAAGAACCTGTATAAGCATTTTTTCCAAAGAAGATGTATAAATGTACAACATGTACATGAAAGGATATTCAACATCCCCAATCATCAGAAAAATGCAAATCAAAACCACAATGAGATATTACCTCACAGCTGTTAGGATGTCTATCATTAAAAAGACAAGATATAACAAAGGTTGGTAAGGATGTGGAAAAAAGGAATACTTATAGCATTGTTGGTGGAAGTATAAGTTGGTTCAGCCACTGTGGAAAACAGTATGGAGGTTCCTCCAAAAATTAAAAATAGAACTATCATGTGATTCAATCCTATTTCAAATGGGTATACAGCCAAAGGAAATAAAATCATTACCTCAAAGAAATATCTGTACTCCCATGCTCATAGTGGCATTATTCACACTAACCAAGGTATGGAAGCAACCTAAGTGTTTGATGACAGATAAATGGATTGAGAAAATGTGAAACACAAACACATGCACATATACAGGAATATGTTTTAGCCTTAAAAAAAAGGAAGGAAAGCCCTGTCACTTGTGACAATTTAAATCAATCTGGAGGGCATTATGCTAAGTGAAAGAAAAGACAGCAAAAGACAAATACTAGATGGTATCACTTATATGTGGAATCTTAAAAAAGACTTTTTAAAAATCTTTTAAAAAGCAAACAAAAACAAACAAACAAACAAACAAAAGGGGCACCTGGGTGGCTCAGTCGGTTAAGCATCTGCCTTTGGCTCAGATCATGATCCCAGGGTCCTGGGATAGAGTCCCACATTGGGGGGGGGGGTCTATACTCAGCAGGGAGTCTGCCTCTCCCTCTGCCCCTCCTTCCACTCATTCTCTCAATCTCTCTCTCTCTCTCTCTCTCAAATAAATAAATAAAATGGGGTGAGCCTGGTGGTGGGGATTATGGAGGGCACTATTGCGTGGAGCACTGGGTGTGGTGCATAAACAATGAATTTTGGAACACTGAAAAAAATTAAATTAAATTAAATTTTAAAAATACACAGACCACAAAAAAAAGAAAGAAAGAAAAGAACATATTAAATAAATAAATAAATAAATAAATAAATAAATAAATAAATAAATAAAATCTTTTTAAAAAAAATTAACTCATAGAAACAAAATATGGTGGTGCCTTCCAGGGCCTGAGGGTAAGGGGAAATGGGGAGAGATTGGTACAAGGATACAAACTTTCAATTATAAGATGAATAAAGTCTGTGGATCTAATGTATAACATGGTAACTATAATTGATCATACTATATTGTGTAAGTGAATTTGTTAAGGGAGTAGGAATTAAGTGTTCTCACCAGAACAAACAAAGATAAATATGTGAGGTCATGGATGTGTTAACTAAGTGGATTATAGGTTAGAATTCATTCACAATGTGTACATATATTAAATCATCACATGGTATACTTTAAATATATTATAGTTGCTCCCTTTGGGGGAAGGGGGAC